CTCTCCCTGAGATCATGTAAATAGTAAACAATCTCTAGAGAAAGGAAAGACTCTTCTGTGGATGGAACTGTCTACAAGTCACAAAGGGAGCTGGGATGCAGCTTTCATGAGTCCTGATGCATCCTGGGCTGGGCTTTTTAGTGATACAGCTGACCTTGCATTATACATGTTCCTTTGAGGCTTCATCCATGCATCTATAAGTAAGCCCAATAAATCATTGGTTTGTAAAGTTAGACTTGGGCAGAACTGATTCTTCAGTCTGTCACTGATGCCCTAGATGGAGTGAACAGAATTTGTTCATGTCTCCCCAGGAAAAGTCAAACAATACTGTTATTACCCACTTGTGTGCCCAAGCCACATATGATCTTGAGAGGTACTAGAATATACAAGAAGCAGACACTTCACTGAAGGCTGAACTTCATAATTCATGATGGGATGGCACTTTTTGGTGATGTAGCAGTGTTTGCCACCATTGTAAGTGACCACCCCACCCCCCCATTTGCCTATGAGCTCACTGAACACATTGGCTCACCAAGTCGGCTTTGGATGGATCATTTCTCTGATATATCACAGGTGACAAATGTTCATTCATCTCTCCTGAGGAAACATAAACCGGAAGTTGTGGGAGGCTGGCCCCTCTGTTCTTTCTCATTTATTTACTGTTCATGACATAAATAGGTTTGTTCCACTGCAATCTACCATGTCACAGGCCCAGAGTAATGGGCCAACCAACCACAGCAGGACACATTGAAAACTGTGAACCATGATGTCTTTTCTTTTTATAAGTTGATTGTCTCAGCTCTTTGTTTATGTCACAGAGAGCCAACAAGTGCAGACATTTAATAAGGTCTCCTTTTCATAATATGCGAAGTTTCGGTCAATAAGGAAAGTTTTAAAATGGCAATAATTTGAACAAGAGATTTACTGAAACCAAATTAAATACCTGGATATATAATATCTTCAATCTTACACACAATGTAAAATAAAAAAAATACAAGTAAGAACTTATCATCCTCCATCTGATTGGCAGAAACATCATGGTGGCTTCTACTACCCAAAGTGGGAAAGAAGATAGAAGCTGGTACTATCAGACCAAACAAATAAAATGGTAAAATGGTGCACTATCTTAAGGAAATCAGTCACTTGCCTCTTTACTGTTAGAAATAAATAATGAAAAATAAAGAAAATATGTAAGCCCTCCCAACTGATGCCATTTACATATGTATGCATACGTGTGTGTGTGTGTGTGTGTGTATGTATGTATGTATGTAAATTCTAATTAAATTGACCATTGATAAATGGAATTTTTGAGTTTTAAACTTAAAACTGAGTTTTAGACTTGTGATCCGGAGTAAAGAGCTCCCATTTGGTGTATCAGTCTGAGAGACTTCTGGAAAAGCCTTGCCCAAAGTGCTTCCTCAAGAATTATCAAGGAGGAAAACCTTCCTACCACAGGCAGAGGGAGCAACAGCATCGACTACAGAAGCAGGTAGAGCCGCATCCTGCAAACCCACAACCTCCACCATAAGTGATCTTAGCTCGTATAGTTTGAAGGGGTTAGAAGGAGTCATCTAAGTAAGAAAGGACAAAGAACTGAGCTAAGGCAGGGGCCAATGACTGATTCCTTCAATAAAGCAAATCAAGAGACATCAAGATGTTTGTCACTATGAATGTGGCCCTCACAGAACCACACAGCTGGCTCCTAGACTTCTCACTTGGAACCGTGGCTGAAGACGGTACTATTTCCTGTACAAGGGATGAAGTTAGCCATTGCTACGGGCCTGATTCTTAAGACACAACTCCTGGTCTGACTCCAGGGACTAGTGAACATTGCCCATGTGACCCTGGCAAGAATACCGAACTTATGCTTGCCTCAGCTTCCTCGTCTCTACACTAGGAATGACAGTCATGCCTAGCTCCTAATTTGCTATCTTAGAGCCTAGAACCAGAGTGCCTAGAACCAGACTGGCACAAAGCAAGTGCTCCATGAGTAGTAGGTTAATTATTATTTCAAGGTATATGGAATATGTATGCATGTTTAAAATTCACAGCGATGATTTCCTAGGCTCACATTCATCCTCATGACAGCCAACAATGTCCCTATGGGGATAAAAGTCAACAAATACTTGTGAAAAGGAGTCCTTCCCTTTTCTGACTTCCTATGTCCACAGGCAGGAAGCCCCAATACTCGCTTGAACAAAGGCTCTGATTTGAATGGCATATTTAAGATGATTAAATACCATGGAACACTGTCATTCCATGTTCCTCTCATGCATTTCTACTGCCTTCTATTTTTACTTCTCCTCACTGTTTTGGGGCACATGTTCTCCCTGTTTTGACCTCAGAACAATCAGAACTAATATTCAGCCAGCCACTCTGATATGGCTCTTGCTTTCATTTTATATACTACATTTTCCTAACTATTCCACTTCCAGAGAAAACAAAAACAAAAAAAATTTAGAGTGTGGTATTAGTGACAATTACCTCTTACAACTTTTATAATAAAATGAGCATGGTGTGTGTGTGTGTGTGTGTGTGTGTGTGTGTGTGTGTGTGTGTGTGTGTGTATTCTTCTTGGATGGATAATAAAATGGAGCTTAGGACAGAATGAAATTTACTTGAGGGTTTCAGAGTTAAAATACATAACACTAGATAATCATGACAGAGATTTGTCCTTTATTTTCTGTAGATAAGTTCTGTTTATCAGCTACAAGCTTCAAGATCATTTCTTTTTGAAAGACAATTCTCCATGGCATTTCTGTACATCACACCAATCTAGAGCTGCAGTTTTGTGTTCTGTCTTGTCTGTTTTTGCCCTTGTGGTGGTAAGGATTGACTCAGGTTTTCACACATGCTACAGAATACTCTGTCATGGAGCTGTCTTTATAGCCCTCATGGTGCACTAATTGTTATGCTTGTTAATGTAGTAAACTGTTTTGGATGATAATAATGTGCATTACTCTGGGATAGATGGAATATTTGTTTGGTTGCCAAAATACTAAAACCACATACCCTTCCAAGACAAATATTAGTCAAGTTTGCTAACAGACAATAGTAAGACTGGAGATTCCAAGGTTAAGGTTCTTCATCAGAGACATAAACACATTATCAGAAGCATGTGGTGATATTGTGTTCCCCAAAATATTGTGCACCCTAATAAATTTATCTGGGGTCAGAGAACAGAATAGCCACTAGATAGATATAGAGGCCAGAAAATGATGGCACACATGCCTTTAATCCTAGCATTCCAGAGGCAGAGATCCATCTGGATCTCTGTGAGTTTAAAGCCACACTGGAAATAGCCAGGCATGATGACTTACGCCTTTAATCCCAGGAAGTGATGGCAGAAAGTTATATAAGGCATAAGGACCAGGAACTAGAACTGGTTAAGCTTATAGGCTTTTGAGCAGCTGAGAGGCATCCAGTCTGAGGATACAGGATCACCTGAGGAATTGGCAAGGTGAGGAAGCTGTGACTTGTTCTGCTTCTCTGATCTTCCAGCGTTGACACCAATACCAGGCCTCCGGGTTTGTTTTTTATTAATAAGACCTTTTAAGATTCGTGCTACAGAAGCACTCACCAGAACACTGCCATATCACCCCAATATAAGCTCTCAGACTACATATAGTTTCCATGCCTCAATTCTCTTACATGCAGAATGGAGAAAGGATGCCTACTTCACAGCCATCATAGGTTAATTAAGTTTACAAATGAGATAATACATACATAATACACAATCCGTCCATACCTCATAGCTAGACTCAAATATTGTTCAAGATAGCAGTACCAGGTGACTTTTGGCTGCCTCTCCCCTCCATTAAATGGCCCACATACTGGCTTAGTCTTCACTAGCCACTCTGCATCACTGACACCAAGGGCCATTCTCTACATCAACAGTGTTCATCCTCCAGACAATGACTTGGCTAGCTTTCTCTCTACTCTTTTGTTTTTAAAATAGAGTATCACATACACCTCACTGGACTTGAAATCTCTATGTAGCCTAGGAGGACTCGGTCTACATTTCTGTTCCTTTCTATTTCCTTCCTTCTAGTCATACACACATACATAAAAGGAATTTAAAAAAAAAGGAGGATGTTCTTACAAGTGTTCTAAAATGGTTCTAAATTCTTCCCCAATTACCATTTAACAGATGCTAACAGAAAACCAGTTTGTGTAACATGGGATAAGGGAGAAGGCAGTAGCCAGAATGAAGTGAAGGTAAGACATGGGATCTTTACTGGAAGAAGAATTATAGTAGGCATAAAAAGCAATCCAAGAATTACTCAGTTATATAAAGGTATTATTCTTAAATGTTGAATCTTTATAGAAGTATTGTTGAAAAAACAAACAAACAAACAAACACTGGAGACAGGCATGGTAGTGTGTACCATTAATACCAGCACTTATGAGGCAGAGGCAAGCAGATTTCTCCACATTCAAAGCCATGCTGGTCTACATAGTGTGTTCCAGGCCAGCCAGGGCTACACAGTGAAATCCCCTGAGAGAGGGGAAGTGGGTATTGGAAAGAAAATAAGGAAAATGGTGGTTGTAGCAGTGCGGTCACATGAGTGTTGGAACACAGCTAGGGAATATGCAAAGAAGATAAACTTTTAGCATCACCAAGCCCCAGTGAGTCTGAGCTCTCATTCTTAGTAATTGTCAGAACTTGAATGAGATGCCCATTCTCACCAAGCTTTAGTTGGCCTCCGGAATATGTTAAGACACAACCCCACAATGCTATACATGGTAGCCATGATGAGAGGGAGCATTGCAGACTAGCCAGTAGATTACTTCTTCAGAAAGTAATTTTAAAAATAATATTCATAATCATTTCCCAGAAGAATATGAAATTTCATAGTAGGTGTGCTGCACTTGGCCAGATACAGCCCTTCTAGAGCTTAAACTACAACTTTGTAGAAACTCTAGCTGCTAAAGATTCTATTGAGACCTTACAATGCTATCAGTCCTAGATAACCACTTAGGGGACTGGATAAACTTACCTGCAACAAAAAATCGAAGAGAGCCATCTTGGACCATTCATGGTGATGGATTTCAGTGCAGCCCCACTCAGGTCTAGGAACCCGGCCATTCAGCCAGCACTTCTGTTTGAGCAACTGCTGATAAGTTCCCCAGGTGATCTTAATGGAAGAATGGCTATCATTGCTTGCAGATGCCAGAGATGAGTCCCAGAGAACAATGGGACGAGGGCGGCCATCTACAGAATCAGAAAAGCAAACAGATCTCTTAGCATGCTGCCCTATTGAGTGGGCAAGTGTCCTTGGGAAGGTCACTTACTCTTTCTTACCTCACCCTCACCTGTCCAATGTGGGACACGTATTAAACAACACAGGTCTTCACAAGTTTTAATATTTTTATATCAATGATACTCCTGGTCAGTTGTAAGTCTTATAAAGTGGAAAGTTATTATAGACAATGAAAAGAAAATTTAACAAGATTTATGGATGTGGCAGGAACAGACTACTAACCACTCACTCAAGCCTTCTTTGGTTAGCATGGTTTTATTCCACATCTAAAAGCAGCCACCACAAGAAAGGAAGGAATCCAGACATTTATAATTGTCTGTTCAGGGTCTAAGCAAGAGCGGTCTCTGTTTGTAATAACAGCTGTCTGATTTTTGGAGGCTACACCATGATGCTGGGGGTGGGGAGAATTTTTAGAAGTCCCAAATTTCAAAGAGAAATTGGATGCTTTACATCAGTGACTGGAGTCTCCAAAGAAGGAAAGCAAGAAAAAGAAGTGTTTTTGTTTCTGTTTTTCTTTTCTGATAGGAAACGTGCAAGCACAACCATGCTCTTGGAAAGGGATCATACAGACGTCACACATAACCTCATAAGGCAACTTTAAGCAAATGTCACTGTTTCAACTGTCTGTGCATAGATGATATTTTTTAAAATGTCACTCAAGTTGTTTGGATCTCAGTCACTGGAGAGAAAGGCAGTTTTTATCATTGCTAAAATAAATAAAGTATGGTCAGGCCCAGCGGAGTCATCATCAACAGGAAAGACCATGATGGAATCCACTGAACAACGTTTCAGGCTTAAAACAGAACTGTCGCCAGCAAGTCCCCATTTCAGCCAAATAAAGTCACAGAGATGGCGATGGGCAGGCAGATTTGCTTATAACTCAAAAGTCTGTGCGGTACTCTTGAAGAAAACAGCTTAACTATAAACCTCTAAAAAGCCCCTTTAACTCATTCTGAGCAAGCCTGAACAATAGAGCCCTAAGGAATTCTGACCGGAATGTCCAGACATGCCCTGGGAATTTCTGAAAGCCCTTTGAAACGGGCTCGGATGTTCGGAATCTACAACTTGCTTTGCCCAGCTAGCAACTCAACCTTTCTTGCCTGTGTCTCACAGCATTCTTATCTGCAGGAAACAGGCAGCTGCTTGACCTGTTCTGAAGCTGGTGGCACACCAGTAAGTACATGAACTTACTCAGTCTTTCTAATTGCCCCCATCCCAGCCTGTTCCAAAGAAAATTTGTTCTCCATTTCGCCAACAGTGTAGGGCAGAGCATGAGGAAGGTCTTCAGCTTACACAGAATACGGCACAGTTAAGAGAAGAAAGGAACCTCAAGCTGACCCAAAGGATCATCATTTTTACCATTACATTCCTCCTTTCTATTTCTTTTTACTAAGCAACTGGGCTCCTGAGGCCTAATTACATTCTAAGATAGAAGAAGATCAAGACAAACTGTGACTACCCCAAATACTGTGCTGATATTTTTTTTAAGAGAACTAAATCCATGCAAGATCTGTCTATCATGTGAAGAAGACAAATCAGGCCTGTGTCACCAAATATGAACAGAAAATGTCACACCGCTTTCAGAGGCAAACACACAGGACACCTGATCGGCGAGAGTCTGTAAGCCAGTGTCCTTGACACTGTGACTCAGAAACAGCACTTTTCGCCTCAGAGCAAGGAAGTGTTCAAAGGGAACTAAAGTCCAACACTGCATGTCACAGCACAGTCCCTACAAAGGACAGGCAGGCAGCAGCTTCCTGTACAACCCCAGCCCTGGGAGGAGCAAGAAGAAGTCACAGAAACCTTCTAGGCTATCTCCTCATCTTTAAGAGTGCCCATGCCTTACTATAAAACTAACTAAATAAAAGAGGTCTCGTCATTTCTGGCAATGAAGCAAATTCTACACGAGAATGTATAGCTAAGAAAAACGCACTCACCCGCAGCCCACAAACCACCAGGTTTTGTTTTCTAAACTTTCCTGCCCCTCTCACTCTTACCTGAATAAATAAAAAGCTTTAGACATTCGGGAAGAGAACGTGGTTAACTCGTGGCTGAAGCTTACAGAACCCAACAGAGCTTTTGCTCTCTGGTCTATGACTTCGTGGCTTTGTAACGCTGGGCAGGGAACAAAGCCTCTCCAAGCCCACCTCCTCCTGCAACATGGGAGCAACTGTGTGCCTTTGTAAAGTGACTTCGCTGCCATTAAATAAGACTGTGCATTAAAAAGAAAGATCTTTCCTCAAACTTTTATCACTTCTATCTGGTGCAAACATTGAAAATCCCTTCCTAGAAATTTGTGGACATATTAAGTATATAATTGTTGTCTGCAGCCACCCACTGTGTAAGATCGGCATGATAGAGATAGGTCTACCCTGATTTGAACATTATACCTCACTAACAGGTATATTTTTTAGGTTGACATATATAAATTAAATGAAAGAAAAAATAAAGCAAATAAATAAAATCACCATCCTAGTGTTTAGCATAAACACATAACCAAGAAATGGTTTATAGCAGCTTTTCTACATATGAGCCTTCGACAGCCTCATAGTGCACCAGCCTTCAGCCAACCTTTGGTGTTTACTGACTTACTACTCTATGTCATGCAGGGTTTTAGAGACTGGAGCTAAATTATAAACAAATAGGTATCAACTTTTATTTTTGCTCTCATGAAACTTAAATTTTTCCAGAATAAAGAAGCAGAAATTACACAAAGGAAAAAAAAATGGACCATTTCATATATACAGACCCTAATAATTATTTCACCAAATACTATAGCACAACTGCCTATCTTACAATTAAATATTTAAGTAGCACATCTGCAATTGTATTACAGTAATAAAGCCCAGTGGCTGCACACTGCGCCAAGAGCACCGAGTAAACACTTGGAGTGTGGATAGCCTCATGGTCTCCACCGCAGCCATTCAGTTATCTGTTGGCTCGGTGTCACCGTGGCACAAAAGAGTGGCAGACAGTAAAAGGACAATTGGTTGTGACTAAGCCAATACGGTTTTATTGTAAACACTAAAGTGTGGATTCCATTTGATTTTCAAGTGTGGTAGTAATATTATCAATGTTTTTATTATTTTTCAGGCATATAAAATGTAGGCAACACCATATAGAATTGCAGAAATCAGTTCATGAAATCAAATTAGGTAGCGGGCCATTTTAGCCACAAGCTGTAACTCTTACTTGCCCATGGGTTGCCCATTTCTCTTCTATAGGTCACCAAATTCTTTGATGGTTTTTTTTTTTGGGGGGGTTGTTTGTGTTTGTTGTTTGTTTGTTTGTTTGTTTGTTTGTTTGAAGCATGGCCACACTATGCAGCCCTGACTGGCTTAGAGCCTGTTACGCAGATCAGACTGGCCTCAAACCTACGGAGATTGCCTGCCTCTGTTTCCCAAGTGCTGGGATTAAGTGCACATCACCACAACTCATGGCTTCTTCCCATCCCCCAGCTGCAGGTTTTCAGCTGTAGCCACAGCTGGAAGTGAACCTTCCTCTCGTTTCAGCCCCCTGAGTGCTGAGATTACGGGCGCACACCATACTTGGTCACTTAATATACTTTCTATTGCGATCATTAAGAAGTCATCCTCGGGCTGGAGAGATGGCTCAGCCATTAAAGGCTAGGCTCACAACCAAAAATATAAGAAGTCATCCTCTAACTGCCAAAGGTGGTTCAGCAAACAGATAAGCACAACTGGTTTTTCTCCACAGCTGGGCATGTTTCCTCAGCAAAACATAAAGACCTTCTTTCCTTTCCTGTCAGGGAAAGGGATTCCCAGAGAAAAGAGAAAGCTAGTGATCTGCGGCTCCCTAGTTGGTGAGTGGAGCACGGGGCCTTTCCCATCTTTGAAGTTTAGTCCTCCCACTGTACCTGAGTGTGTGTGACCCTCACAGGGAAGAATATCTGTCAGTGGAGCGGCAGATCCCAGAGCAGGGAGTGCCATTGAGGGGAGAGTTGCACTTTATATAAAATATAGCTTTGAAGGGGAGTAAAGGAACATGGATAGACCTGAGTGATGACGGGGAAATGGTCTCTGAAAACAGGAGCCCGGTTAAAGGCAATCGCCCTGAAGTGTTTTCGAGATGAGCGGTGTTCATCTCCTCCCATTCAGATTTGTCAAAATGATACAGTGCTGTGCTCTCCGGAGAAATCTTAATGGTGAAGAGATAAAATTCTAACTGTCAGAGCGGTGGGAAAGCAGCCTTTGACGGATGTGAGGATGTCCGTGTGAATTAAAGGTTACACAGCTGTCTTAAAAATGAGGTTGCCAGTAAAACTCCTTTCTTCCAATATCTGAATCTCTCCTCAGAATTTTGATGTTCTCTTAAGTCATTTATTTTATTTTATTTTATTTTTTACTCAACAGCACAAAGAAGATATTCTTTGGGGAAGATGGACATGAAAATTAACCAAGAATGCATGCTCTGAACAATCTCCTTTGTCTACATATATTAAATTCCCTTCACTTTAAACACTGTCGGACTGGTTTTGCTACACTGTAGGGGCAGGCCAAGCATGCTGGTGGAGTGTGAATGTCTGCCTGTATTTATCACCAGGCAAGAATAAGCAAAAGTGTTCTGAGCTGTGAATCAAAAGCCCTTTCTATCGCATGGGCCAAGGTCCAAGACTCCTTGTGAATGAGACTAAAAGGAAGTAACAGTCCAACTCAGAGCCTTTCACTAAGCATAACTCTACAGATCCAGGAAAGAAAACATGGGCTAGTCCAAGCCAGGGCAGCATCTTCACTGGAGGAAACGAATTCCATGGGCTCCATCACAAGCACCAGCAAGTCACCAACAGAAAGCTTTATACTACAGGTTGCCCAGTGCAGAAAAGCAGTAAGGTGTTTGTGCCTGCTGCTCCAATGGTCATGTCAAAAGAGTCTAGGTATGAAGATTCGTTAAGTCCTATCAACTCCATTATCCTTCAAGTGCCTGGCACAGC